TCCTCACTTGCTGTTATTTTATCCGTGTGAAAATGCTGGTGCCAACCCTGCAGAAGACAAAAATTATTGCGCTTCACCCAGCTGGGGTCACCTATGCTGTGGAACACATAAAGGAGAAAACCAAGGGGGTCATTGGGTTATCCACTGAGTGCTGAGTGGGATGCTTTGGACCCCAACACCTTGTAGTGGAGGCTGCACCAGGTGCTGGCATTTCTTCTGCCTCTGTCCCTGCTGGGGAGAGTAGAAGGAGGGTCCTAAGGAGGACCTGCTGTGGCCAGACCCCATACTGGGATCACCCACCATGAGTCACATGGGGCTGGCCATGTCACAGGGATGCTCCTCAGACCCTGCTCATCACCACTGACAAACCCATTTCATACTCCTGGCCCTGCCATGCCTCATCCCATGGGATGTTTCCCTTCTCCAGCCCAGGATATTGGAGGCAAAGTCGTAGCTGGGACCCAGCACTCACCGGGTGGCTTTCCAGTCCTCAGCAGGACTGTCGGCTGCCTCTCGCAGGAGCCACAGGGCATGCAGTGTCTCCTCTCCGTTGGTGCCCACATAGCACTGGCCAAGGAACACAGTTGTCTGGGCTGTGTCCGAGTCTGGAAGGATTTGAGGTGGTATGAATCAGGCAATGAGGCACAAGGCCATCATGCTGTGTCCGGGTCTCATCCCACTGCAGGGTGGTGGTCCTGCCCTGCCTACCTTGGAGCTGCCAGTGCACAGTGAAGGAGAAGGTGGGCTGTGGGACCAGCCCTGCATCTTGCTGGGATCCCTCCAGGGGTGAGGTGAGGATTTCGGAGCAGCAGGCAGCAGGCCCTGGCAGGTAGGAACCGGAGAATCTGCCATCATTGCCAAGGGTGGACACGACCATCTGGCAGCCTGTGTCACTCCGCCAAGACCCAGAGAGGAGGCACTGCAAGGCCAGTGCTGTGGTTTTAGGTGCATGTCCAGGCATAGTGGCATCCTGCTCCTGCCCCAGCACCCTGTCTCTGCCCAGGGATACCTGCCGCACTGGGTGATGTGCCACAGACCTGATATGCCACTGGGATCACCACCAGTGCGAGCATTGAACCTTCGGCACTGATTGCCTTAGCCCAGCTGCTGCTCTGGGTGGTTTGACCCACCCAGGGGAGAGTGAGTCACCCCATGCTAGAGCAGTGGATGTGCTGCTTTTCCTGCATGCTTGACAGGAAAACAAATTCTCTGGGGCATGACTCTGTTTGCCTGTCACTGGATGATTCCTGCAGCAAGAAGCATCCTTGCAGGAGCAGCATCTCTCTCCCAGCCTCTCCACAGCTTCCCACAGCACCACATAGTGCTGGTCCCACTAGGTCGAGCAGCCTGGCCCTGACTCTCTGTTGAGTTCCATGGCCCTGGCAGAAGCCCTCAGGGTCTAGCAAGGTGCCAGTGCCACAAACCCACCATCACCCATCCCCATACCTTCCTCTCTGCAGAGACAACACACGCTGCCAGGCCCAGGGAGAGAACCAGGGCAAAGGCACTGCCCCTCATGGCCACAGGGCTGCTACAAGCTCCCTCCAGACCTGCACCCTGGCCCCCTTTATAGTGCTGTAACCAGATCCCCATCAGCACTGGGCTAGCAGCCATGAGGCCTGATGTCAGGGTGACCAGGACAGGCAAGGGAGGAGGTCAGCATGACCTGATCAGTGCCGGAGGAATTCAGAGATGATCACGGCTGTGCAGAGAAGTGAGGGCACAGGTTTTTAATTAGGTCCTTTTAGCAGCCTGGAAAACATCAATACCTTCCTGGGGAATAAGCCTCCAGTGCATGTAGGCTGGAAATCACCACCTGTTTAAACATTCACACCCTCCCTGCTCTGATGGTGACAGTGTCTGACCAGGGGATCACACAAGTGCTACCAGAGCATCCCTGGCAGGACACAGCTGCAGTGGCTGCATCACTGCAGGGGATGGAAGGCTCACCCTGACTTCTGCTTCAGTAGCAATGACATTTTCCCAGCATCTTCTGGATATCAGCTGCTGATTTTGATGCTTTCGCTTTTACTTTTATGAGGGTTAGAGGAAGAAATAATCACAGAGGGGCACTAAGGTCCCAGCATGTGCGTTTGCTAAACACATCCAGTATGATAACCAGCCTTGTACTCACACCTCTTCCTTGCATTTGCTGTTCGAAAGGGCCTCGGATGTACAAAACACTGTGCACTGTGCCTATGTTCCTCAGCCATGTTGCTCACCACAATGGCTGCTGCAGACATGGGGCTTGGACAACTGAAAATTCAAGCGAGATTCAGCTGCATCAACACTTGCTCTTTCCAGAACAGCAGTGTTTGGGGCACTGGATGGCAGCAGGGCTATACTGTGTGTACTGGGGGTGGGGAGTCCCCCCCAGGGTGCCACCTCTCAGTGTCCACCGCAGGCCACAGCACACTCCAGCACCCTGCTGCTGCTACTGCTCAGCACTTCTCCCTCTGGGTCAGATGGCCCCAAAGGCTGGGGCAAGTGGAAAACACTCCTAACACGTTCCTCGTCCTCATTGTCTTTATGGTCCCAAACTCATGGGCTTATCACAGGGACTTGAGAAATCCCCCCCGGGGAAATCTCTTGCTCTTGACCTGGATGCCACACACTAGTCTTTTGGCCCAACACCAGGCCCTGCCTTTCTGCACTGTTTGATGGGGACACACCACCACATTTGAGGTGCTAGGGAGGTGGCAGGAACCCCTCCATGCCATGGCAGCATGCTCTGGTCTTGCTGGGTCTGGGCCAGGCTTGATGGATTGTGCGGCCAGAGTGTTGGCATGCCCAGGGCTGGGATATATATGCAACACTTCTGCATGAGGCTTTGACTTCACCCATGGACCTGCTAAAAACTGTGTGTCAAAAGAGCTGACTGGGTTTGGCAGGTGTCCACAGGGACAAATAGAGAGGCACTGCCAAGATGCAGTGGCAGAAAAGGGTAAAACCCCTGGATGTAACCCAAAGGTATGGGAAGGGATGAGGTGGGATGAGGTCTTTAACTTGTGCACTTTTACTCGGGGTTTCATATAGCACAAAGCAAGCATTTTACCAACATCTCACACCTACCATAATGCTACCTCCACTGCCCAACACTATGGAGCAGAGTCCAGGGACTGGAAAGGCATCTAGTAGGGATGAATATGAAGGCACTGCAAGAAAGTTGGCTGGATTCAGGATGCTGCTGTTGGCTCTGCCACCAGCAGCCAGGAGTGATGGCACAGGGTGGAAGTTTGGGTTAAGATGAGGTGGAAAATGAGCTCAGGGAGGTGGATGAGGAGGGTTGATGGAGGATGCAGATGTCCCTGGGGAAGAGCAGTGGTGAGCCCTTGTCTCAGCAGGGGTGTCCATGGGGACAGAACAGGTAGCAAGGACAGAATTTTAAAAAACACAAGCACAGCTGATGATTTTTGACTTTCATTTTTATTTGTGAGGTGAGATTTGCTTGCCTTGTTGCAGGGCTGGACCACACCCAGATCATACCATCACTGGGGTGGTGAAGACATATCCTCACAGGCTGGGGACAAGCTCATCAGGATCTTTCCTTTTGGGGTGCGTTTGCGTGTGAACACATTTCTGCCTACCCTGTGGGAAGTTGAGAATTCCTGTGGGATGATCCATGGACACTGACCACTCAGAGCTGCCAGTGCCAGCAGGTGACAGGTTGTCCCTAAATGCCTTCAGCTTGCCTCAAACAGCTGCCAAGTGTCCCTGGGCAGAGCAAGCCTCTTGCCAGGATACAATGGCATCCCTACTGCTAACCCATACAGGGGGCATTCTCAGGGGTGGTCCTCTCACCCAGGGCAATGCTCATCCTCAGGGATCCTGGGAAAGCCCCCTCTGTGGGACTGCCATCCCCCATGCCGTCCACTACCTTGTGGCTTTCCAGTCCTCCTTGAGGGACCCGACAGCTTCACGGAGCAGCCACATGGTGGTCAGTGTCTCCTTTCCACCTGCATCCACGAAGCACTGCCCCACAAAGGCGGTAGTGGCATCTGGGAGGAAGCGTTTATTGGGAGATTGGTGAGGGCACTGTCTGCTTCCCCTTACCCATTGTGCTCCCAAATACAGATGTGTTTCTGCTCTAATGGCCACACACCCGCCAAACCCATGCTGGGGCAGTCCTGCTCTTTCCCAGTAGCTTCCTCGGACAAGGCATGATCTGTAGCACCACATCCCCCATCCCCTAACAGGGTCTGCACCCACCATGGTCATGCTGGGCTGCCTGGCAGGAATGGGTGCAAAGATGCTGTGTGAGGAGGGACTGCCCTGTGCAAGCCTAGCATTGCTCTTTAGTCCCATGCTGGGCAGGTGCTGCTGCTTAGCTGCACCAAGGCATCAACCAGCAGAACTCCTGGCAAAAGAAAGTTCCAGTGTCTGCACCCAGTGCCACTGAGGTGCCATCCCCAGGAGTCCCAGCACTTACTGGAGAACTTGTCCCAGTGGACGGTGAAGGCAAAGGTGGGCCAGCCCCCTTCGCTGGGCTGCTGCTGGGCACCTTTCAGGGGGGAGGCATGGGCACAGCCACCAGAGAGGGTGACCCTTGTGAGGTACTTTCCCTGGAAGTCCCCGTTGTTTCTCAGCTCTGAAATCTCCATCAGCGAGTCCTGATCGTTCCTCCATAGCCCACTGAGCTGGCACTGAAGGGATACAGCCACATGCTCTCTGTCCCCACACATGGCACAGAAGGGGAACCCATTCCTCCTACTGCTCCATGCCTGGAGCCACAAGCCCTGTAAGTGCAACTATATAGGGCACAGCTGTCCCTGGCCCCACTTTGGGGAAATTCTCTCCCAGGGTGCTGCTGGCTGCTGAGTGGGTGGTGGAGCAAGACCAGTATGTCCCAGCCTGCCAGCATGCACAGCACACCCAGACACAGGGGATGCCCCACGCATAGTGTCCCAGACACAGACCCTCCCCTAGGGTATAGTGCCCTGTACATAGTGCCCATAGGGGAACAAAATTTCCTGGAGGTGGTATCATATGGATGGTGCTGACCCAAAATACACTTCCCACTCCCTGAACTAGGTGCTTGCAAAGCTCTCCTGCTTGTCCAAGTGTAAAATGACATATAAAACAGAACCCCTGAATGTCCATG